AACCTGGACAATACACATCTTTTTCTTTGCAGTCTCTGCTTCTCGGTTTGTTGACTTATGTGAGAAGGTGGCCATACCCATTGCCATTTACAATTGTGGCTAGTCAGAATCAGTTTTATAAAAGTTGCTTTCTTGAATGTAGTAGCTACTTGAGTTTGCTGCCACTGTGCATTTTTGGGGCTCAATCTCTCTGAAAACAATGTTGTTTATAATATTGTCTCTCTGAGAAACGTTGACATGGGATAACTGTTCCACAGAGGGCTAAATCCCAATGTCCCCATCTTCCATTCCACACAAAGCCACATTTTTTTGTGCAATTCATCTAATATAGCTTTCAACGTTTTGGTAGGTTGAGGTTGGTGCTCCACAGTCTTTGTACGGCTGAAGAATTAGATTCATTTTGCTCTTATACTGTGCTTTCATTCTGAAGATCTCCAGCTGAGATGTTTCACAAAAGCACCGATTTTGTGCGATAAGCATTGTTTCTTTCCGAGTCAGTTTTCAACTCTTAGGGGTGTAAGAGCATGCTTATTTCAAGAATTTACAGCGTCATAAAGGTGGCTGTGACTGTCGTGGAGGAGAAAGCATAGGAAGTAGGGGAGGGTTTCTTTGGGAAGGCAATCCCTATTGAAGATGGGATAAACTCCCAATAGATATAAAGGAAAGGCTTAGGTTTACTATACTTTTTGCTTTGTGATTGTTTATTTTGGAAGATGTATGTTTTCAAAACTTTTATTGCAAAGTATTATTTTAATTGTGTAGAACTTTGAAGTGCAGTAGCACAGAAAACACCAAAAGAGTAATACTGAAAACAGCTTAACTTAGTAAAAGAATAAGGAAAAAAGAGATGCTCTCTCCTTAAGTAAGACACATGGATGATAGTGTGAAGATTTGAGAATGCAAAAGTGTCCTTTGTGGGACCACAGTATAAGTCAAAGGTGTCCGTTGTTAGGGAGGCGAAAACACGATAAACAGTTATGTAGGTAATGCCGATTAATTTGGCAGCTATTAAGCTGTAATAAAAATGGAATACTACAACTATGAAATCTTGCTTTTTTTTCTTAAATCAGTATTAAATTCAAGTTCAGCTTTTGAGATTTACCAAGGGACCTACTTGGGAAAAACAACTGGCCACAGAGAAATAGCTGACAATGCCATCTGACTCCTGTGGGTGTATATCTGAATTGATCTAGGCTTGCTTTCAGGCAATTCTGACAGGGATTTAGGTCCTCCGGGATTAGTGAGTTAAGGTGTGCCAAGAAAATTGTATACATAACCTGCAGAAGAATAAGTCTACTTAGTACATTATACCTGTAAGCGCATTAATTGTCATATGAACATGCTGAAGAATCAGGTTTTGTCTTAAAAAGACGAAAATACCCAGAAAAATACCATGTAAGAGAAAACTGGTTCAGCCATTTGCGAAGAGCAAAGAATCCTATGTCACACCATTACAGATTTATGTGTTGTGTTTTCTAATCAGTGTAGTTCTTGCAAATATCAACCAAAAATCTGTCACTAAAGCTCCTTGCTTTTGTATTTAATACAGATTTCCTACTCCTTTAGACCCCTATAAATGTATGCATTTTCACAGACATTTCCTAAAGGATGTTTTAATTGTCACCATATTCCAGCTGGAATCTGCATAAGCATCTACACTGTCTTTCTGGTAGCACGTTTGGCCATGGAGGGTTTTAGATCTTGAAAGCCTGTTCCTGCTCACTTGCTATGTATAGTTGAATAAATGAGTGTCCTGTGAATTGCCTAATTACTTGTTCCACAGGACAGAAATTCACTGAAAATGGTAAATTGCCTTAGGAAGATTCGTGTTTGTTTGGGGGTGAAGGGGAGGAGCAGAGGAAAAGGGTTGGTTGTTGGTTTGTGGATTGATTCCCGTTTGAGTTGAAACAGACTTTAGGAAAAAAAAACCCAAAGTAGTCTTGCTTTAAGAAATACCTAGTGATGGTGAGGATACCACAATCATTGCTCAGTTATTACCTTCACTGTTAAAAATTTAAACTTAACATCTCTTCCAAATTTGTTAGACTTTGCTGTCTTGTTATGTTTTTTGGCTAATAGTTGTCTGCTTTTTATTGATCTTTATGAAATACATAAAAATTTTGCGTCACTGCATTTGAAACGTTCTATTTGCATCCTCACCTGCAAAAAGATTGCAGTGGGATCAATAACTGTTGTATGCTGAGCCTGGGAAAGGAGTGTGTGGAAAGAGGGCCATGGTTACTCTGGACAGTAATCCCTGCCCCACATAACCGATGTAATGCTGAACAGCACATCCAGTTCAGCTACCTCTGCGTGGCAAGGGAACAATCTCAAACCCCACAGAAGTCATCGTTGTGTGTTCAGTCTGGGACACTACTGCAGCTCAGGGTACTTGTAGAGTCAACTTAATTTGTTGTTTCACCATAGTTAGCAATGAATAAAAATTAAAGCAATTGGTCTGAAATTCTGGGGAGGTTTTCTAGAATTACTGGTAGAGAGGGAAAAAATAACTAAAAATGGAAAGCATTACTTTGTTTTACTCTGTGTTTTGGAGTGTGGGAGGAAGGACTTGAGGGGAAAAAAATTAGTACTATTTCTCTCTCTGTCCATGTAGTATGAAATGGATTTGGTTTATTCCTTATTCTTTATAAATATCAGATAAGTGTAACTGAGAAAGAGGTTTGTTTTTTGGCTTTTCTCCAGTAAAAATAGTTTTGTCTTTATGATGTTGCTTCTGTCCTTACCTAGTAGCAGGATGAAGAGGGTAGTAGTTCTGCAGGAAAGGATCTGGAGTTATGTTGGACAAAAGATAAATCAATGATGTACTGTTGCAAAAACCCTCAGTCATCACTGCAGGATGTGTAAGGATGAGTGTAGCTTGTAAAGTACAAGAAATAATCCCTGTGCTACTACAATCGGCACTTGGAGGGCCTCAGTTGTGCCCAGCCCAGTTTAGGATTCTGCATTTGAGGAAGAATGAGGACCAACTTGAGGCGAACCAAATGAAATTAATCAGAGGCCTAGGAAATTGGTCTTAGTCAAGGACTGAAGGAAATAGGGTTAATATGTAACGTGATAAAGGAGGAAAAGACTTCATGTATGATAATACAGTTTAAAGGTGTAAAAGTTTTCTGTGTACTAACCTGTTCGCAAAAGCTATGGTGGAAAAGGAGCAATGGTTTTCAACTGTTGGGTGGACATCAGGAAGACACTCTGATGGTAAAGACACTGGTATAGTGAGATGAAGCTGTGGGATCTTTAGGAACAGATCAAAGAAACATCTGTCATAAGTGATAGAGGCACATTTGAGTCTATCTGAGGCATGTAAGTTGTATGAGAGTCGTAAAGACACTTTGGATCCTAATTTACAACTTTGATTTAGATTTTATTATTACATATATTTAGTCTGCCTTGCTGTTCTTTACCTAGGTTTACATATGGAGAGCAGAACGCATAGGAACTCAGTTTGTTTTTGCACCAGCTAATTGCATCTCTAGGGATTTACTTGCCTGTTTACCTCAATTTGGATGCTCTAAGTAGATCCATGTGACTTTGTATTTGAATGAGTCCTCTGTATCACCTTCTGTATGTGAGTTAGATATTGGCCTTTCCAGTGTTTTACTGTCAATGCTGTTGATTCTTTATTCCCCTGGCTGAGGGGTTGGCCAGGAAGACAGAAAACTACTGACCAGCTCAGCAAGAGTAAATCTGGATCAGTGTAGGCTATTAAATGACTACAACTTGTTGACCTGTTTAATGTCTGCGTGGTTCCCATGGCTGTCATTTCCATCTTCAAATAAAGGTCGCTTGAGGAGCACTGCAATTACAGTGGCAGGAGTAAATCCAGACCTTTCTACCATTTCTTCAGTACTGTTGGAAAAAATAAAGCAAGCAATGCATTGATTTTATAGCATGGAAGTTATTTTATGCACTGGCATGACTGAAATACTCGTTTAAACTTAGATCCTGCAGAATGTTCTTTACCCAGTGAGTGTTTTTACTCATGGTATGTTAATAATTTTGAGTTTGTTTTTCATCTGTTCTCTGTGATGCTTTTTCTGAAATACTTTTACTGGCTGTTCAGAATACTAACTGAGCCACATAATTGTCACAAGTACAACAGCTATGCGATTGCTGTAGAGGGATTGTAGTAGTTTTGAAATGTTGCCAGCATGTTAAATCATAAAGGAAATGTTCCTTTTCACTGGCTGTTGGGAAAGTTTAAAAAAAAAAATAAATACAGTGATTGGAAGAGATGGATGCTTTTTTTAAAAAAAAAAAATAATTATACCTTTGCTATAAAAATGTTTCAGTTTTAATTCAAACGTTTGTTTTATTCTACTTAGTAAACAGAAATAGTTCATGTTCTATTTTAAATGTTTTAGGTTTTTTTTAAAAAACAACGTGGCCATGTGCACTTACTTCATCAGGGGAAATTCCCGGATGTAGTCACTGCTTTTCTATCATATCTAAAAATGTGTCAGACGCATAGAGTATCTAATACAAGATAGACTTCTCCATTTCATACTAAAATTTCCATTGCATTTTTTTAACACAGAACCATAAGTTGTAGATTTCAACTATGAAAGCAATGAAATGTCTGGGGGGTTTTTTTGTTTGGTTTTTTTTTTTAACCAGAGGTCTGTTTCATAGTATCTTCCTTGTGATAGCTCTAGCTTGGAGTCCACTGTGAAAGCAGTAATTTGTCTTTTTTTTTCAGGGAACTGGAAAACTGGAAATATCAATATTTCTGTGGAAATCTCTAATACCAAATGTATTGCAGGACAAGTGGGGAAAGGAAGATGTTTGTTCCTGTAATTGTTCCCTTTGCAGACTGGTTTAAAAAAAATTATTACGAGCTGAATGTGGTCTACCTTGTTAATTGAGACCATACCAATTGATAGCAGTTGACAGCATTTATTATCAAATTGCTAAAAATGTTTCCTGTCCTTTGTGTCCCTGAGATAAGAGATGATATTCTGATGCATGTCTTTTCACAGGACCTGTTGTTCAGTGTGTGCGCTCTCAATATCATCTCCACCATTGTCTGTGCCTTGGCAACAGCAATGTGTTGCATGCAGATGGTTTCTTCTGATCTCCTGCAAATGGTGAGTATCTTTCAGTGACAACACAGGGTATTGTCCTTACCTGTGTGTACTCATTTGTACCTACTGTTTGCTTATAAACTTAAGCCTATTTGTGCGTCTTTGTGTGGTGTTAGAAGGTGTATGTACATGCGTGTATTTTTTATCTGCATGCATGTATATAAATAGAGCATACAGATGTATGCAGTATGAACAGCTGCTGTGTTTAAATGTTTGCGTATTATATTAGAGAGTTATAATCAGGATTTTGCAATTGGGAGTATGTTATTTTTGTTGATGAGGTTCAGTTGCATGACCACGTTAAATTGTCTGTCATTACATGTGTATTATCTTCAGTTTCCACACTATCCAGAGTAATTACTTAGCTTTGAGATACTATTTTTCACTTCTTTTCTGGTATGAGAGCTATGGAGTATGAGAACTATGAGTTTAAAGCTGGAACATTTCACAGCCCTGTGCCAATAACAGTGTTTTCATAAGGAAAACATGTTCAGCTTCAGCGTAGCACTTGTGTTTGAAACAAGAGGGAAAAGGATCATTAGTCTTCTGCAGAGCCAGCTGCATTACACGATACTGTCTTGTTTTGGTTGGACAAAGGCAGCTTTCCTGTCCCAAATGAGTGCTGTGATTCTCAAGGTTTCAATGTAATGTTGAAACAAAAAATAAAAATTTAAAATCCTTTGTATTTTGCAGGCCAGGCATACTGTTTTTAACCCAGCTCTATTACTGGTTAGTCTAGGAAATTATCCTCTGTTTAATAAGAGAGGGCAACCACACAAACCTAGTACCAGTAATTTGTAAGTCTCATATTTTAAAAGTTTGCGTAGATAAAATACTGGTCCAGCAAGTTAGCTGCAAAACATTTACACAATGTAGAGATGTCATATAACCTGCCATGCAGGCATGTAGTTGATTTAAAAATAAATAAATAAAAAAAATACACTAGCTGCTGTGGATATTGATTTGAATTTAAGTGCATGAATTACAGAGATAAGGCTGCCCTTTCTAGACAAGTGTTCCAGTCACTGGGTGGGCAGCTTAGTTCAAAATACCTTCAATCTGTGATCTGGTGTTTACTTCACGTAGTAGTGGGTATAACAACTTAGGCACGTATGTCTACATAATGCCTGCGAATGGTGCATAAATGCATTTTTTTCCTATAGCACTCTCTGTATTCATATTGTGCATGCTTGTAGAGGCTTGTAAACAGTGCTTATTGAAGAACTTTGGTTTGGATGTCAAACAATTGACAAAAGTAATCATTTCAGCTGATGACATATTGTATTTTAAACGTTAAAGGATTTTTATTATATTGTGGGTATTCTTTCTTTTCATACATTACCACTCTTGATATTTGCTGCAAGAATGGCTGTTGACTAAAGATCTTTTTCACCTTGCAGTGATGACAGGGAGATGAAGTGTGATCATAACACCTGCAAGATCTGTTTGTCTAGTGTAACAATGGTAGCGGTGATCCAGAAGTGTAACCATATATATTTCAGGAATCTTAACCTACACTTAATTTTATGGTATTTAGCAGTGTAAGAGGAGTAAAAATGTATAGATTACAATGAACCAAGAACAATATTGAAGTGCTTCTGATGGGCACAGGCAAGAAGCAGTAATCTCAATAGGAAGTCAAATACCTTAAAAGCACATAATTTTTCTCTCTGACACTTTATTCTTCATTTCTTCCCTAAAATTCTTTCTTTCCCACCTGGCAATGCTGCCAGTACGTCAATGTCTTTTTGCTTCCTATGCTTTGTGCTTCCCGCTTTCTGTCTTCCTGCTTAGCTGTCCATTATCCCACCCTTTCAGCTCCATTGACAAGAATTTTCTTCCCTCTCCACAGAAGGAGGGAATTGTATCTCTCTGCTCAATCCCAGTCTTTTCTTGTTTATCCTTAAGTTTTTCCCTTTCTTTTTTCAGGTTGCTGAGCCAGATTCCTACAGGCCTAAGTGAGCGTAACTTCCCTAGGTCCATGCTGACTTAGACCAGCTGAACTCTGACCTGAAGATCTCTTTTTCTTTCTCTATTTTCAGTCTGTTCTCCCATGATCCGCAGTTCCCTTTTGCTCTACTGCACCCAGAAATCTGATTTGCTTCCTCTTTTCTTGCTTGTTAATGCTTAATTTATGCTTTTTCCTTTTACTTTTCACTGAGGTATGCATCTTCTCTTAGCAGGGCTGTACCATGCTGGAAGTTTAAGATAGCAGCAGCAAGAGAGACCACCCCTGTTAGATGAAAAGGTTTTAATTGTGCTGATTCTTTTACTCTATTCTTATTCCAGACCTACGTAGGCTCTCCTGTAGGAAGAGGAGGCATAAAAATGTAGTTCCTAGCCAGCAAAAGCATTACGCAATAGGGAAGATCCTCCTTGGACATCACTAGGTTATCAGTAGTTCATCAGTTTTGTGATTCATGTGCTGTGCTAGTTTTCTTGTCTCAGAAATTAATCAGTTACAATGGTGAATTTTTGTAAATTTCAAATAATGTCAAGTTTTCTTCTGGCTTGAAGCTGTTGTATGTGCTTCAGGTTTGATTGCCTAGCAACATAGAGCTGGTCCATAATACGGTCTCAAGAAAATCTGCAACAGTGTGTCATGAGTATCGGTTTTATTGCTAACTTTTGCATACAGTCAGTATCTGATTTCTACAAGGAAACTGACAGTATTTTGTTGGAAACTGCTACCTTCTGATGTACCGTCTTTTAGTAAAAATGCCCTGAAAAATATAAACACAAGCTGGCTGGTAGTAAGCACGGGTTAAATTTTCCGGTGAATTTGAATAGGGTTTTGTGGTTAAAAATAATCCCACCAAATAAACATTTGGTTTCAAGCATTAAGGAAAAATACTCCAAAATATCGCAAACTATTTTTATTGTGTTATATTTTCAATGCCTTTAGTTTTACTTTTGTACTGTTGTCTGGGACACAAAAACATATTTTCCTAGGTTGTTCCTTCTTTGAGTTGACTGTTTCAGAAAGTACCCCAGACTTTTCACTTCACTTTAGCCTTTCTCACCCTGTTAAGTATACACAGTTGCTCAGGAAAAAAAAATATCTACCAATTGTACTAAAGCTGCAAGAGTAAGTGATACCATAGTAAAAGACTGAAATAGCATTTGTTATGTGTTTCACTACTTTAGACGGTTTAAGGCTGCACTCCATTACAGGGCTTCCCAGAATTGTTCTTTCTGTGTACACACCCCTCCAGCAGATAACTGTGAATCAAATCAGATGGTATCAAGGTTCTGTAATGTGAAGAAACATCTCTTAATAACCAAGCTGTCACTTCCATGATACTTCATTTGTTGCCTAAGGCAGTTTCAGTTTGTATCTTGTCTGATGAATGGCTACTGCAAAAACTCACCCTGTTTTCTTCAAAAGGTAGCTGCCCGAATTAAGGAAATAAAAGAAATTATGCCCACTGTGGCCAAGCTAAAGCATGAAGTACACCTGTCCCAGTCTCCTCCTTCTGCTCCAAATATGCTTATACGCTACTTGTCCTAGAAGTACTGGCACTGATGTCATTCAGTGTATTCTGATTTTATCACCATCACTGTTAGTAACTGTTCTTCATGTTATGTGATATCTAAAACAATCTGTTACTTTGTAAAGGAAATAAGGCAACGATGACATGTGCAAGCTGTAACATTTAATTACTGTTTTCATCAGCCATAATGATAATTCAGCATCTCATTAACTTAATGGGGTGTAGTTAATATTTCTACTCAAACACCTCAAATAAAGCACCTCTGTATGAGGATCATATCTTGCTGGCGTTGTTTAAGCCCTTATCCTGGTGAAACAGTAATAAAAAAAAACGCTTCAGGATGAAGCTTCATGTTAAGTGAGAATTGATCTTAAATTATTAGATAATTTTTATTATTTAACCTAATTCTATCAAAACCTAAATCGTACTTTTTTTTTTTTGGCACAAAGCTTACTTAAAGGTACTGTAAAGTCCAGATGTCAGTCCTTTTAGAAATATGCGCTGTGAATGACGTACATCCATAGAAACATCTTAAATGTAAATATGGTTGGATAAATATTGCCCTCACCCTCACCACAAATAAAAAGATAAAATAGAAACCTTTGGTGTAGGAAAGCTTTTGACATTTTTAGAAAATGTACCATCTTCCATTTCCCATTTTATTGGTAGAATATTTAATATTTAAAACTGTTTAAGATAGGGTCAGTCCTTCAAGAGAGATGTAGTGTCACACACCAGTTGTTCTGAGACTACAGAGCTAATGACTTGTGGCGGTTATAGGAACAGCAACGGGAGACAACGGAGGAGAAACATTTGAATCTGCGTTTTCCTTATCAAAATATTTTCTGTGTTGCAATTTCCCTTTAAGATCAGGAACAAATTACGAGAGTCAGCCATGATCCTTCTGTTCTTGCAGACAATTAGTGCCTACAGTTCCCTCCGGGAGATACCGATTCCAGTGTTTCAGAAAAGGAAAAAAGCAACCTGCCCAGGAGGAGGGAAGTTAATTGAAGACAGAATTATAGACCCAAGTATATTGCAAAGAGCTTTTACTATAGATAACATGCCAATATTTCATTATATGCAATTAGAAATGTTTATTTCCCATTCCCAAGAATCAGCAGATTTTTATATATGACATACAGAGACTGAAATGAGGGTAACAAACTCCGGAGTCTCCAAAGGACTCATTTCCAAGTTACAGAGTAAATTTATTAAATGTGATATGGAAGGCAGAGGTAATTACATGCAGATATGGGAAATACTCTAGATAAGAAGATTCCCTCGGAGCACTAGTGGAGTACTGATGTATGGCAATTACTGATTTAGATACGTCGTAGTTGCTAAGCCCTGAATCCCAGCGCTGTCATGTACCTGGATTCAATAGTGCTGATCAGCTGCAGAATGTGTAGAACAGAGGACGTCTTTGTGAATGTTTAGTGGGGATGTCCCCTACCTGGAAATACTGATGGAGAGTTCTTAGTCTCACAAATCCCAGGTACTTACCACACATCACAGATCACTTACCACACTATCACACTGGGTATCTGTTCCATTAGAGAATCATATTTACAGTCCTTATCTGCTGTTTCTTTAGTTCCTTAATTGAGACTCCTCCATCAGCTTTTACTTCAATATACTCAAAATATTCAGAACATAAACTCCAATCATTCTGGTCACTTCAGTGACCAACTTTTAGACGACCTCTCAGTGAAGTGCTGGAAGTTTGGTCTGAGAATAAAAAAAAAAAAAAAGAGTTTGACATATATTATATATATTATAATATATATTATTAATATCTATCGAAAGGTGTTTATTTCACCGTGAAGAGTTAAAAACTGAGAAAAGAGTTCTGTTATTCTACAAAGTACTGCCTTCTGCACTGGGAAGGGACAGCGTATGTGTCCTGCTACAGGTTCTGAACTTGCCGAGAAGGTCACTGGCATCCACCCCCTACATCGCTGGCTGTGTGCAGTTCTCAGTACTGTGGCACATAAACTCTTGAGCATAACTGCCTTTCCTGAAAACTTTTACCTCTTCTGCTCCTGCTGGAAGTGGTGTGCTTCTAACATTTGTGTTCCTAATTCTCTGCTTGCTGACTTGCTGCTGATGCCGTGGCTAACTTCTCTTTTGAATTCAGGTCCGAGAAGTGGATACAAAACCATAGCATTGTACAGCTTTCTTATTTGCCCTGCTGCAACAGGATAACAAGTTTTCTTCTTCCCTCATAACTCCGAACCAAATAACAAATTAAGTAGTCCTCAGTATGAAATAAAGATGAGGGCTGTTTAAATCAGGCTGTTTAACTCTGTCAAAGTTAGACGTGGTCAATTAAAACACATAAAATTCTGTGCACTATGTTGCCCATCCATTTAACACGTGCACTGATCTATGTGTTATGCCTTTTTGGTAGCAGACACATTCCACAGACTAAAGTGAGGCCATCATTAGTTCAAGGATGAGACAAAACCTGCATGCGTGTAATAGTTTGAATGCCAAGTTTCAAACATAAGGTTGGCTATTTCCAAAAAGAAGAGCATGAATTCTAGATCTGTATTTCCTTGCCTGTCAGATTTCTGAGAGCTCCCAGTATCCAACAGCTCCAGGCGGTCAACAGAAACAGTCGAGTATTTGGGATTTCCAGAGCCAGGGGCTATCTACTTATGCCTGGTAAAAATGTTCAAAGTCTTTAGTGATAGCTATAAAGTTACGCAAAGCTCTTAACAGTGTTGGCTATTTAGTGTTTACCAGTGGTGCTATTTGCTGCTTATCCTTGTCTGCGCCCATTTTCTATCCATGGCTTCTGCAGTGGCCATTGGTGAGATCCCAAAAGCCTGGCTAGGAGACCTGCTTTGTGAGTTGTTTTGTAGTGTGTGCTATAGTCATTGAAATGACATTGAATGCAACTTGATCTTGTTTATACTTGTGACCGAACAGGCCACCCCCATTTTCGGTTTGGCAGGTCTTGTTGTTGCCTATCCTACTTGCCATCAACATTTTGAGACTGACTATTTAGTAACAATTGTCTTCTAATACCAAAAATGTGTGTTTCCTTGTGAAAGTGTTTGTCAGTGTTCTTCCATCTAGTCCAGCTTTGTTAGCTGTTTGCATTTTCTTACCATATCTTTTTCTTACTGGTGGACTTTCTATTACGTCTTTGCTGAGCCCCTGCAGCCTTCGCCATTTGAGACTAACCCTTGAAGATTTTTAAAATACATTTTACTATAAGAAGATTAAAACTTTGCAGGCTAGTAGAGATTAGTAGATAGGGTAGTATGGAGTGAGATATGATTTAATTTCCACGTAGTAGCTTTCCGATTGTTTTCTCAAGGATGTCTCCTCTTTGTGATAAACGCGTATATTTGCTATTGTTTCATTGCCTGCTAGTCTCCCTCTTACAGCCTTTTTCACTTTAATTTCTGTGCCTTCCAGCAGGATGATATCACACAGGTAAACTGTTATTTATAACACCCCCCCCAAACATGTGCATCTTCCATGTCTGTTTTGCCACTCATTTTCAGCGTTGGTCCCCGGAGTTCGTTGCCATGATTTGTATTCACAGTAAAGGTTCTTGAAAGGGATGCAAATGATTCTACTGTTCAACTGCATCTAAACATTAGATCTTCTCCTTCTTGAACCACAGCTTCTTCTACCCTGTGTAAAACCTTTCCCTTCTGTCACATCCCACAAAATGTGTGCTTATAGTTCACTCGCGTAAAAATGTGATGTGTTTAATTGCCTTGCTCTGAGGAGTGTTGAGCGTATGGCTCAACGAAACAAGCTCTAGGAACTCGAGAACTGATTCTTCAATGTTTTTGAGATGGTAGCAGGCTGACAGTTGCTGATGATTGTATCACTTAGGACAGAATTTGGTGTTTAACAGTTAATATTTATGTAATGTTACAGTTTGGCAAATGGCTATTGACAGATCAGGTGAATTTAGACCGAATGACTGCAAAAATGTAGTTTTATTCTTTAAGACAAACCTGTAGAAGTGTCTGATGGTATTCAGGATAACAGCATCACATCTCACATGAAAGAGAGTGCTTAACAGCATCAGACGTTTTATGTAAGGAAGAGTAAATCGGGTAGATGTCATGTCTTCTACTCCTGTACCGTCAGTAGACTACAGTGGCTGAAAGCGTAATGATATAACATATTCTGCAGAGGAGGTTCTTTATTAAATAGTTAGTTACTTGTGAAAATATCTCTAGAGAGCAGATTAATAAGCAACTAATAGTTCATTTTCACAGACAACTGAAACTGCTCCTCCTGACCCTATGTTGTGTTGCATTATTACAACTTTGACCTTTTAAACAAAACATAGAGTGTGTTTAGTAGACTTAAGATGTAACTCAACCTTTTAAATACCAAAGACCAATATAATTTGTATGGTAATGTAAATTCAGCATAACTGCACCAAGTTAAATTTGAAAAAGTGAAAAATTTAAAACTTGACATTAAAAATTGAGGTAATTTTCTTTCTGTTTGCTGGATTGCCTAAGCATAAGCATCTTCCCTTTTCTTTCACTGCTTCTTAAGTCTTTATCATGGATTTAAACAAGTAATAATGTAATGAGACAACAGTACAAAGACATATTATCTTGTTCCAGTATAAAAAAGAAATATGCCTTCAGCAGATTTTCTTAGCTCACTTGTTTTAAAAGGCAGGAGCTAAAGCCCAAGTCATCTACTGATCCAGGTAAAGCGATATGACAGCAGAAGCTTGCCTGGAGAAGGAAGAATTCTTTGGTGGTTTTGGATTGTCTTGTGATCCCCTTCTATCTGTGGGGACTATATAAATTCAGGTCAAGGTGGCTGGGTTCCATGGGATCTGCAGAATGGTCCATATTTGATCTTGAAGTAGTTTAAGCCTCTGCTAGAAGACTTGTTAAGTTACAGTGTTTCTGCCACCATAGGTGTCAGAATGGCTTCTTTGTATCCCTGCTGTGCTGGAAGCTGCTTAGGTTCCTGTCACAAATGTTGACAGCAGTTCTCAGTCTTACTATTTTCTGTTATTCAGTGTAGTTACTTTCAGTTTGGTTTTGAGATGTTTATATGGAATAAATGTTTTTCTTACTTTCATACCAGTATTTAAAACCTTTATACGACATTTAAGTGCACAGCAGCAATTAGGAATATTTTATTTTACAATAATAATAAAGAATAATTTTAAATGGCCCCTTTTTTGGAAGTGAAAAATAGGAGGGATGTTTGTAGTGGTCTTATTCAAAATTTATTGAATATGTGCTAGCTTATTTCTAATTTGTTTTATTTGGGTTTTTTGGGGGAGTGAGGTTGGTTTTTTCTCTATAAGCAAAAGGCATTTCAGATTGGAAACAAAAACATGTAAATAGTTATTTTAGTAGTTTTATCTATTATTCATCAGTTATTAAAATACAGCTAATTATGTAGTGCTACAATAAAATTTTATTACAAGGTAGAATTATTTCTTGAAAAGCTATCTAAGTTTAAATGTTTATGTTCTGCATCCTAAGAGTGACTGACTTTGAGGCACAGGCACCTCTGTGTCTTTAGTAAAACCTTGTCTTATATTTTGCCAATTTGACTCGCACTCCTCACTGATCTCAAGTATTCTAATGCTTCCAGAATGTCTCTTTCATTTCTGTATGGATATTAATTAAATTGGATATTGGTCAGGGTTGCTAATAGTGACCTTTTATTAAAATTTTTATTATTGGTGACGAGTTTCTACCATCTGAAGGAACTTGACCTGTTTATTTCAGTTTCTGCCACAGAGGCCGCATTCTACCAATCCTGACTGCGTGACTCCACACGGAACTATCCTGCATCAAACCTTGGATTTTGATGAGTTCATACCACCAATACCGCCGCCACCCTACTACCCACCAGAATACACCTGCACACCAGTGATAGAGGCGCAGAGGTGATTATTCTTGCTTGTAGTTACAATCATTGCATAGTTCTGAGCTACAGACTATGAAGCTCTTTCCAAGAATAGGAAGCCAAGTAATGTCCTTTGTTTACATTACGTGCTTCTTTTCCAGAGCGATTACATATGTCATTTGCAAACTTGTTAAGATGCACCTGGAAATATTTGTATATATAATAGAGAAGTGATGGAACTTAGCCAAGGCAAGAATAACAATATCTGAACTTAAAGCAGAGATCAGCTTATAGGTGATCTTTTCATAGCTGTTACCGTCGCACTCTTGAACTTGAATGTGAGATTTAATTTTCTAAGGAAATGATTGCAGTTAATGTGTATTAATGTGGAGTAGTGAAGAACATTAATGGCTGCAAAATGGGCTGGTAGAGAGGGCTGACATCCAAAATGAAATACAATTTTTAAAGCTACCCTGTGAATGAGGGCTTCATTTTGGTTGTCTAAAAAATGTCTTCAATATAATTCTTTGTATTATGTTGGCTTTGAATTAAGTGAGCCATCTACATCACTGTGGTGTAGGTAAGAGTTTACCAGATAAATTCAACGCTGTTTCTTTATAATTGTTTGCTTGTTTTTGTTTTTTAAACAGAGGTCTCCATTTGGACTTTCCTCATTCCCCATTCAGTGCTTTATACGAAGTAACCATTAACAGCCCAGGAATGTATCCGACGGAGCTGCCCCCTCCTTATGAGGCAGTGATTGGAGAGACACCTGCCAGCCAGGTAAGGAAAGCCACAGGAAATTCTTTACATAGTCTTTAAATTTTCATGAAGCAAAACAATCTCAGATAAATTTAGGGGTTTAGAAAAATCTAAACTACTTCAGGAGTTAATTGTACTGTCGGGGAACAACCATTAGAAAATATTTATATTCTTTGAACACATTTTTCAGATCATTATCTTTAAATAGTGTTTAACTAACAAATTTTGGGTTTAACTAGCAAATTTTACTTAATGTGTATTCTTATGTTCTTGTTCATATTTGGGCAAATGCTTATGTGAGTAGTAATATTTGAGCTGTTATCATCCATTAAGAAAGTTGTACAATACTGGATTGTTAGTAGTAACAAAAACCTAGAAGAATGAATTGAAATCACCGAAGCGTAGTGGTCTTCCTTATTTGGAAAGGATAAGGATGTTTTAAAATGACACTGCACTTCTTAATTTCTGTAGGTAATAAGAAATCCTGATTAGGAATCCGGTTTATTTTCTTAAAAACCCCTACAGTTGTAAAATATTTTTTTATTCCAACTAGTGATGATAGTGGATTTGCTTCACTTTAATATGCTTTTAGTTGGAGCTCAGTACAACAGTGTAGGTTTAATAAGGAAAAAGATACGTGTGTGTTTTGTGACATGCAATGCTAATAACTTCTGTATGTTTGTGTATGTGCGTATATAGCATAGAGCTCATGGGACATTCTGTTTTGCTCTGCATGCAGTCTGAGCCAAGATAATTACAAATTCCCATTTTATACTCCATGTGTAGGTAGAACATGTGCTTGAAGAGTCCTAACAAAAATCTCTGTAAATAACCTCAGATTAACAAAAAGACTACAGATTTGCAGTCTGCCACTTATGTCAGAGTTCAGATCAAGTACTGGGAGCATCTGGTAATAGCATAGGTTCTTGTGATGGTGAGCTCCTGTCTTGAGAGGATGCCATGAACCCAGTGCCACATGTATGCTTTAGTAGTTGTAAGATACAGCTTCCATAAGCAGGCTCCTATTGGGCACCAAGTACTCGAAACTGATTCCTGCTTCGGTGTTACATTAGCGGGCAAGAAACCATACAGAGCAATGATTTGAATGATAAAAGGATAGGGTTGTGTTCTTCCTGTGGAATAGCAACAAGTAGTTCTCTGTCTTTCGCTTATGCTTTTGGGTGTTACAGCTTTTAATAGCTTCTGCTGTCATATGGCAGAAGCAGTTCCTCCTGAAAGTGTGTAACACTTATTCTGAATTTTGAGAAAGGATCCAGTATACTTCAGACAAATATTTACGTTAGATTATTTGCCTTATTTTTTACTGTACAGTGTCAACTCAACTGAAAGTAGAATTATAATGTATCTGCACATGCAGCCAAAGCTAATTTGAGCAAAGTTTTCCTTGAGGGGATTTGGGATAATTGAATCAGCTGTCACAAATGGGAAAATACTTAAAATTACTTTTAGAAATTGAATTTCTTACAGGCTTCGGTAAAAACTCAAGGAGTCAAACATTATAGATATTGCTTATCAGTTTTTAAGAGCACACTGTGGAAATACCTGTGTTCAGGTTACCATATTGCACCCACATTACAGAGGGGAATACATTGCATTTACCCAAAAACATAACATTGAAAAGTTTGCTGGTGATTTTTTTCACATTGGGGGAAACCACAACTCAAACCACAAAACTGAAGAAATGATATAAATTTTTACCCTTATACACAAGAAGATTATTAAGATAATTAATAAGACAATGTCTGGGAAAAAAAGAATGTTGAGATGCACAGTCCCTAACAGAAATGCAATTAAAAAACTCCAAGATGTGCCTAACTTTGCAGCTTCTGTGGCTGACAAAGCAGCTTCTCCCAACTCTTCTAATCCTTGCCTTCTATCGTACCCTCCACCACCTGCCACAATAAACAGACCAAACATTGCACTCCCTTTGATTTCTTTGGCTATAATCAAATGAATCAGCATAAACTGTTTGCGAGTGACATTCTTTTCTGAACAGCAAAATTGGAGTATCCAAGGCCATCTCCTTTCTAAAATATTTTTTATCCCAAATTCCATCCTTTTTCCTTTACAGTGGCTCAGAGGAACCTGCAAGTCCTGGAGGAGTTGATATTTTTCAGTGATTAAAAAAAATTGGCAAAAGCGATATGAATTATACATAGTTTGGGGGGAAGAGGAGGATCATATCCATGATAAGAATTCATACGTGGTACAAAGTAAGGTTTAGAAAAGTGTCTGATTTATACTTCAGCACAAAATCACTTTGAGCACTCTTGAAACTGGGATTACACTTTGCATGAGCATCAACATCCAGCAGCACTACAGCACCAGCATATAACAAAAATATAATTTAACAAGACCTAATTTAAAGCAGCAAAGTCATGCTCTGGCAAGAAGCACATGAGCTTCAATAAGTAAATGTATTGACTTTTATTTTGTGGCATCTGGGGACAGTGTCAGTGCCTTCCTATTCATGTCTGGCCACCTGGGTTCCAGAAGTGTTTGTTCTAATTGCAGCTGAAAATAAGTGGTGATTTTTAATTTCTAAATGGTGATAATTGTATAGTTTCTTTCCAGGAGTGAGTTTGTATATGCCTGGTAGTTGCTGGTTCAGAGAGCTTGTAGAAGCAAAATCAGACCATGTGCTGAGTGTCAGAAATGAAGTACCTTGGCCATGCTAACTGGAGCCTGCACAGCCATGTTGTAGCCAGATACTTTTCTTGACATCAAAAGCCCTAACGTATTTTTTTTCGCGTCAGTGTCCCAGTCGATCTGTAAATCAAGGAATGCATCCAAAATCTAAGACAGTTTGGGGTCTGCAAGAGGCACAAAATGGACTGCTAAATTCTTACGTGAGACAACTGCTCCCATATAACATGCACCAAGCTACAGTACAGTATGAACTGAAATAATTAGATTTAGAAATCCCTCAAAGGCAGACTTTGCAATGGAAATCATGGCAGAGGTTTAGCTACAGAATTGCTTCTGGGAACCATTATGTAATAATGTCATAATTGTAAAACCTCTTACTGAGTATAAAGCAATAGGTTTTGTTTGTTTTTAAATGGATTGAGGTCCTTAGAATTTTATTAAATTGTATCAAATTAGACTCAATGTTTCATGCATTTCATGGTCAACAAATGTCAGTGCTAATTTAAGTGGTTGCATCTAAGTAAAAATTGCAGTTGGCATCTGTACTGATTAGGAATTCCCATTATATGACTATGAAAAAAAAGAGTTTTTCACACTGGCTTCTGTGCAAAGTATTGACTAGCCTATAGAAAAGACAAGAACAAACAAATCGGGGTTCTGGGTGAATTATACCAGTGACTGTTGGATAAGGTTTACTAACCTGTAGGCTGTGTAGGTTTGTTAAAAGGTTTTCCTTTGTTTTCCTATTGATAGCTTAGTGACTGTCTTTACCAGCTTTATGTCTGAGGATGCGCAAGTCAATCAGGTTTTGTTACCCTAGGCTGTGCAGGAACCTGTAGGGAACCACGTGCCATCCCGATGTGGACCAAAACTCTGACCTGACTCAAAATCGGTGGTGTTACTTCCTGCAATTTAAAGCATGGTTCTCCTTCCCCCAGGCAAGAAGGTTAATCAATTCCAAACACATATAAAATACATTCAGCAATTATTCTTCTGAATGGGGAAAGAACAAGGGTAGGAAAACGGAGAATTAACACGTTTCTCAGATAAGTTTAAATGGCTTATGTTTTGCAAAATATGGCTACATACTGAAAAAGTAGAAGAAACCAAAATTCAAATTATATTCCTGATTTCTTCTGCACGCCCAAAATCTTGAAATCCCTTGTTTTCCCTCGATGTGGGATGCTAGTTATCAATGAGGCCCTGAAGAGATAAACCTCAAAGATGATGAGTGCTTTTCTGTATGTGGGGGATTTTATACAGAGGGGAATAGTCACAGTGTTCCATTCAGTCTCAAGAAGCAATTTCTGTGTGTGTAAATTTGTCCCACGTATTTGTCATATTGTTGGGGTTTGGCTGTGAGGTTTGTTGTGTTCATTTTTATTTTTTTTTATAATTTCCAGCAGTTGTAATTAGAGAAAACTATAATATAATATAGTCTGCAGTATATAAGCAAGGATCTAGAAGTTAAGCTGAGAGGCTGTGTCCTTTGATTCACATAGTAAAGAGTCACCTCTGAGAATGTTATTTTCTTTATGCAGCCCCATGTCTTTAGGTGTGTCACTGGGGGGTTCAGCCTATGTAGGAGCCTCTGAGATTGAGGCAGAACCTGAGAAGGGATGTGATGTGTGGTGGCTGAGCTTTTGTGTCCCTCTAATTTCCGAAGGATGGGAAGGACTGATACAGATCTCATTGCATGGAGGAGAGGGCTGAGAACAGTTCCTCTCTGTAGTTTCCCTGAGTAAAACAGGACTCCCTAACCTCGGTGGGCTGAAGGACTCTCAATATCAACACCTAACCACAAGGTGAAATAGTTTGTCTCCTGCCCACGTTGGAATAGACCTTGGGTCCATGGTGTGTTCTATGCGAGCTCTGATCCAACAAGGTGTCAAAGCAGAGTACTGATAGCTGCTCTGTGGCTTGTGTTAAATGAGCTTAGTTGTCTTATTCCCAGGTGAAAAAATTCGGTTGATGCTATAATTGTTCCCTGTGGCAAACTAAGCAGAGAATGAAAAGAAAAGGATACGAAGATTGAAATGTTGTAATCTAGAAGGGTTTGTGTAATAGGAAACTCAGGTATGCAAATACAATGAATGTATTTCTTCGGCCTGTAAAACAGTGGGTTTTTTGAGAAAGGTGCAATATTTTGATTTCAAGAATTGCTAAGCCAGCTTTTTTCACAAGCCTTAAGTTTGCTTTATATGCTGTGTAATGGCATTGTTATTACTTTGAATTTACTAGATCAAAGCTACAGATGGTTCCTTGTCACTAGTACAGGTTTGCCAAAAACCTCAGCCGTGCACGTAACTCATTTGATAGGTGCTAGACCATGTCACTACAGCTGCCAGGTGACTGGGAGAATGCAGGTCAAGAAATGTTTCAGCGCAAATATTCAGCAGATGTTTTCCTGTCAATTATTAAGAATTATGAAACCACCTAGATTTAAAAAGAACCCCTAGATTTTTAAAAAGAAACGAACACCCTTAAAACATTATATTATTTCTTCCAAAATGTCTGATTGAATTTTCTTCAGCAACAAAGAGCATTTGAGAACGCTTCTTACTGTCTCAGTTAGTTCCCAGCAGTTCCACAGTTGGTTCCCAGGAATGGTCTGCAACTTAGAGTGACACCATTAATTATTTTTTTACCACAGATGTGTGATATTCTGTTTCAATAAAGAAAGATCCTTTAAGACATTTCCCAGCAAATTGTTTAAAAATACGCTAACCCTTAGACTTAAAATCACTTTTGAAAAACAAATTTGTATCAGAAAAAGTTTCCTGATCACTTGATCATAGTAAGCTATGGATGGATAGATAAAAAAATATTAGTGAGCACAGTAAGTTATGCATATCTATATGGGGGCATTAATCTACACTAGCATGTGCACTGGAAGCTCTTTCCTTAATAGCTTCAGAGGAATAGCATCATGTTCAATTTTTTAGAAGGCCAGATACAAATTAAACTCTTGAGAAAAAGGTTTTCACAGAGGTGACTGATGGTTATTTTTAGACTCTGTCACCAAACATAAGCTTTTACTAGTTAATTGTGGCCCTACAGACTGAAGCAGGTATGATGCTTTCTGCTACAGATGGTATCTATCTCGTTCCCTTCAACTTTTCTTTTTATGTTTTTCTAATTTATTGTTACCATCTATTTATTGGAACAATTTTTTCAATCGTTGTGATCCCAAAGAACTGCTAAAAATGTAATGACATTGGCAACAAGGTCCAATACAAAGTCTATTAAAATCAGTAGAAAAAAAAATCACAAATTTCAGGTGTTATGGATCAAGTCTTTCCAGCAGGACTGATTCTCTGTTTTATTCTCATGATTCTCAAAAGCAAAGGGAAGTTACCCGCTTAGGTCCATCCTTTCGGAAAAATGGTGAGTCCTGGTAGTGTCTCCCTTCGGCAATCTCTGAGGCTGGAGAGCACCCCGCATCGGCCACCTTGGGTGGCAATGATGCTATAGGGCTTAAAAATACATTAGGTGTTAACATCTCAGCAAATGCTTGGTTTTATTGTTTCTGTTGTTCTCTATCCTATTTTAGGGTGAGAAAACGTGGTGGGGAAAAAAGCATAATATGGAAAAATGCAGACCGTAGAAAGAGATTGCTTGTAATAACCCCATTAGTTTTAAGCATCGCAGAGATTAAGTTTTGTATGTGGGCCTGCAGCCCCAGCTGGCTTGTGAATTCAAGATGAATTTAGCTTGGAGATTCTGGAAAAATGGCTTTAAGTGCATTCCTTTGCCCTCCATTTGTTCCTGACCCAAAGACATTGTAAAATACTCTATCTTTAAATGGCTTTCAATTGGAGTAGTAGCTTATACGATAGTTACTACACATTCTCAGGTGCGTCCTTAAGATCGTCAGTGCTATACTATTGTTTTGGTAAATTGCAGATTAATGTGCTGTTTCATTAAACAATTTTCATTTAGGTCACTGGTACTGATCAGCAAGTATCTGAGTCAAGCTTGGGTGAGAGGAACATGGCCCTGGACTTCAGCACACAAGGTGATCACGGCGTTGTCTTTGTCTACTTGAGAAAGATGTAGTAGGGTTTCTGAGTGGACTTTTCCCTGCCCCTCTCTTCTGCCCTTCCCAATGGAGAAAGAAGGATTTGCTTTCAGATTGTTCAGGGCAAGAAGAACCTTTTCACAGTCAAACTGATGTGGTTGGAAATGCAGAGCAGAGTTTTGCTCAACAAAGTCTGCTCTGGATAGCCCTCTGAGGCAGATAAGGCAACTGTCATTTGTCTTTGAAGAGTCATGCACATAGTGGGCAGTTTGTTTCTCAGTGTCAGCAACCACGGGTGCCTTCCTGATAGTCCACGTGCCTTCTTCATGTCGTCATTTCCTGGATGGCTTCCAGAAGCCTGAATTAGGAAGCTTTGCTGCCCAAAGCAGAGATATTGTGAGTGCAAGTAGATGAGTAGCAGCACAGAACCTGTTTAAAGTTTAAAAGTTACTAGAATAGGCCTCCTTACCATGTCTGTTGATATGGAAAGCTTTTTAAACACTACAGCCTCAGTGCATCCGATGTTGAGCAGTTTGTACGAAATAAGTGCTTTAGTAAAGCTTCCATTAAATACTTTTTCCACATCATATTCATATCGTATTAATGAATAGAGTGGCAGGTGCTCTCAGTTAGTACTTATGGGCAGAGAGGTGGGGGCAGAGTGATCCAAGAACCAGAAACAGTTCTCTCTGGCCTGGGGTCCAGAGCGGGGCTGACAGCCTGACAGGTTAGTGGGGAGCGTCTCTTCCTACACACACAGGGTATCTGTTCTCTGAAGTAGGATTTCAGTTTCCAGAGCCACCACCAGTGGTCACCTTTAACTACTGCTAAATTTTATTTTATTTTTTTTTAAACCCTGGTGTTTGACAACTGCAATGGAGTGTGACAACTGAAGGTCACTGGTATTTAAGTGCTGCTGTTAACAAGGGCTGTGTTCCTAAAGTTCCTAAGTACATACGGACTTCACGTCCACATAGGAAAGCCTACATTTTAAGGCCAGTGCTAGAGTTTTGACTATTGCAAGCAGCACTCCAGCTCTCAAGCCAGCGTTTTGACATTACGTTGCACACATGAAAGGGAGCTAGGAAGGTCCTCGGGCATGATTTCTTCATGTAAAATCAGTCAGGTGTCACCATCCCATGTCTTCTGAGCAGTGATTTCTTCTCATCTGCTTCAGGCCCTTCCTCCTGCTGTCTGTAGAACCAGAAAAACCATGCCAGTGGAAGAGTAGAATAGTAAGAAGCTGTCAAAATACAGTTTAAGGCCCTTGAGTCAAGGTAGCAAATGGTATAACCAACCACACTCTAGTTATCAATTAAACCTAATCAAATGAGACAGAGTTTGGACAGTGAAGATCTGTGCTCTGAAGACAGGCACAAACTGGATGCTTTCATTTATCCATACAAACTTTATAGGTATTTCAAAGCTTGAATTAAGGAAGTATGTAGCAAAGAATCAACTGTATAAACAATCCAATAAAACACTGCAGCTTTACAGTTAACACATAATGAACAGTGCATATTGTGCATTTTTGGCATAATGTACATGTATAGATGTATTTCCATGATTGATTATTATGTTGTTATAATGTTATGATTGCCTTGTAAGTGCTACAAACTTATTTCCTGGAACCCCCAAAAGTAAATAGTTGTTGTCATTCATTTTATGTAAGAAGAAAAATGTCCTTCATAAAATCCAACCTCATGAGTATTTGATTTTCATTTTGATAGTTAATTTCCGTATACTGTAGAAAGCTTTCTGCTTCCTAGACCCCAAAACGTGAGAGCACCTAACAAACATTTCATAATTCACTAAAAGATCTTATTTTTCTATTCCTAAACAAAACAGTTAAAGTACATTTGTCGCACCAATATGGTTTGCAACAGGTGTTATGCAAAAAAAGGGCATCAGAGGCTACTGAACCGAATAGAATTATGTGGTTTGTATTTTGTACATATTTTGATTTTAGGTGTAGGACTTTAAGGGATTCCAGTCTGATATGGAAAAGCGTTGTCTATATTATTGGAGCCTGAAGACTGAATTATCTGGTTTTATTTTCCCTATTTTTGTCATGACTTTGGGAATAATGCAGAGCCAAATACTTATTTTCATACAAGAGGCCATTTTCATCCATAACGTATATTTGTAGCTGTGACAGAGGAAGTGATAACAATCTCAATTTTTAATACAAAGTGCTTCAAAGATGATGCAACCTTGCGAAGAATGTTTAGTGTCTATCTGAAGTGTGCATGTCACATGTTTTGTGTGCCAGAGATGTTATGTGATGGTGAATTCTCATTTGTAACGAACTTAGATACATGCTTAAGGGAAATCATGATGGATTACAAAGTGTTAGGTGCAGAGCTAATGTTGACAGTAGCGATAGATTTAAAAGTGTTCAGAGCTGTGCTTTTTCAGCATTTGTGTAAAGTTTTACTTTTTCTAGCACCGGCCATCTCTCACTGTTCACTAGAGAAACGAGTAGTGAAAGAGCTGTTCCTGTCCAAATGTCACAGATAATACTGTGGTATCGGCACTCAAGCGTGCTTATTACTTGAAGAAAATACTCGAGAGCAGCACAAATTGTCTGTGCTGAAGGACGCTAGAAACAAGTAAATTACTTCAGTCTTTTTCGCTTTGGCATTCTGTGTTCTGAAGGCTTTTGAGTAATCATTGATGTACTTGCCAATCACTAAATTTGAATCAGTACATTGAAAACAGGGTTGTGGGGAAATGGGAAAGGGGCAAGAAGTCTTTCTTTTTCTGTGAATCTCTTGTTTTGCAGTTTCTGTTGAGAGCACTTCTTTGATGGTATCTGAGGCTGTTGATGTCCCAGACCGTAGCTACTCCTCTGAAGATCTTTGTTCGCTGGAAGTTCAAGGATCTCTCCATTCTGCAGATCTTTCTCCCTACTGTACAACCCCCAAAGGGGCTATGGACCAGAGCTGCGGCACTCTGGATTGCAGCACCCGCTGGAGGTTCCACAGAACTTGCTCAGAGGGTTTTCCTGATGAGGACGACAGTTCCCACAGCCGAGCCTCTACAGACAGGTCTCAAGGACAGGAAAAGAACTGTGCCCACAGCAGGTCCTTGGACTGTTCCTCCGAGAATTTTAGCCCCTTGGAAAGAGAACTGCAGCATTCTGCTCAAGACAGCAATGCCACACCGCCTTTGAAGCAAAAGAAAATCTGCTGTGTGGACTTCAGCCAGCCTCCTGTCCCTTCCCAGACCTCTCCCTCTTTTGGGCCCGCAAATACTTCATCATACACGAGCGGCCAGGAGAGTGCTGTCCAGCAGCATCACATGACAAAACACCGAATTTCAAATATAGTCCGATCAACTAGTGACCCTGTATCGTGTTCGTCTTATACAGAAGGTAGGTGTAGTACCACAAGGCTGATGGAGCTTGGAACAAATGAGTGGTATGTGATTTATGCACCAATTGGTGCTGCTGGAAATTATATGAAACGTTCCAGTGAGGGTTGACTTTTATGTCAAGGCTTTAGTTCCATGTGCATTTTCTAGATTTGAAAATTTTTAAGAAGAATGGAAATGGGAAAAGTGACAGAGGGAAATTAATTTTGGCTTTTCTAAATTGTACCAGCCTTTCTGCAGTGTTCAGAAAACCATCTCTTGAGTAGATGCTTTCATTTCCCTCTTACTATTATATTGAGAAGCTGAACTAAGAAGTTGAGTGGTAGCAGGGGTCTATTTAGGAAATGTTTAACTGAGCTGTCATGCTTGTAATACAGCGGGTGACAGTGACGTTGACAGTATTGGTGCGTGTCAGAGGCAGTCAGTGTGACTGTGTAGTGGCAGGTTGGAGCATATGGTGAAAAGTTTTAAAGGACAAAGAAATGAAAGATGAGGCACGTGACAAGATGATAAGCTTTTGACTGCCATGGATAAGCATCTTGTGCTATGAATCTCCTTTTAGACAAGTAAGGAAGAAGAGAGGAGACGTTGTTAGCTGAACGGTGTTTCTTCATAAAAAACTGCTTGTTAGTGGAAAAGAAATGTTTGATTCAGAGAATGGCTCAATCAAATAACAGCAGAACTGTCTAAACCATTGGAAAAGTGCAGTTTTTACAAAAGGATGTAAGCTGTTTAGAGAGATTCAAAGAGGTAACCCGGAGAAGTATTTTGAAAGTAAAGATTTAGAAGCTTTGTAAGATGTCACAGATTGTGCTGTTACAGCTGTGTTCACTGGGCTTTCTAAGGGATCTAAGGAAGAGTCCTGTGACTAGCTCAAAAGAAAAGCAGACAGAATGCTGAAATAAGTGGTTTCATTTAGGAGGAGGATGTGTTGGTTCTGTTACACTTTTTGCATCATTATTCGGTTTCTATGAATTTCAGAGACCTCATACTTAGCTCAATAATTGAATGTCTTTTACCTTTAGAAATCTAGGCTCAGCATCCTGTCTAGGAAAAGTGAATCTTTAGTTTAGACGTCTGCATTTATTTTATGAAATTTACTCTGCTAGGTTATAGGTGCTATGATGCTGCTGTGCAGACAGTAAGTGGGAATTTCTGAATCCTTTCTACTGTGCCAAAGACAGGAAGAACAGCCCTCTCTCTTCTGGATCACGCTCTGCAAGTTTTCCATATTGTGCTCCATATGCTCTTTGAGTAGTGTTTGAGAGAGTACTGTAGGCAGCGGTATCTACGGGTTCTAGCTGACTGCTGGGACACCTGGTAGAACAGATGCTCTGCCTTCATTTTTAACATGACCTAAATACATCCATCATCTTTTCTGGAGAAGTGGCATGATGGGAATTATTTTGACTAACTTCCAAGTTCTTAGCCCTACCTGAGTTGAGGGACACGAGTTGAACATTACCGAGATGTAACTGGACTTAGCAAAGATTGTAATAAAGGAGCAGAGATGGTTCTAGAGAGACCGGTATCCACACAGCAGAGGGGGGAGCAAGAGAAGTAACTCAGCGGGAATGTGTTTGTCCTGACCTAGTTTGCCTTTCTTTTGCTGCCTACAGAAGACTCCTTAAAATGAAGCCTTCAAGAGACGCACTTGAGTCTAGATGTGCATATTTCTTTCATTTATACGTTTGGCAAACTACAGTTTGCAAAAGTTTACTCTGTGAAGGTTTTCACAACTTCACATCACTTCCACTTCCTCTACTTTTTGTTGAACTTTATTTGGAAATCATACATAGGTTAGAAGCAGCACCATTCTAATAACACGTACCAGCTGTTGTAGCAGCCCCCAAGCTTGTTTTTCCTAAGCTGTGACACACAAGCTGTTTATAGTCTTTATAACTTTAAAAAGGTATTTGAGCTAGATTTTTCATGACTGGCTATTGCTATTCACTGCAGAATTTTAAAATACATCCACAGTGTTGAACAACAGGCAAAGATAAAGGGACCTGACTGAGCTCCAACTAACCAATCCAGAAGAAAAAGCATTTGTTTTTTTTTCTCAGTAACATTAAAATCATCCTGGAGCAGAGGAACTGGTCAAACAGACTGACCATATGAAAGACAGAGCTGTAACTACATACCATTAATACTAACAACTCATGTAAGAGACATACTGCGCATTTTGTAGAACTGAGGGGTGAGGGAGCTTCAGGCATGTTCACAAATGGGAAAATACAGTGACCGGATTGGTAAGGGAACGTTTGGTTTGTCTTAGGACCCAGTCTTTCTACTTTAAGAAAAAATATTAATTTATCTTCTGACTAACTTCCCTGTACAAGTCAATGTGAAGAGATTTAGAAGCATAACCTTGAAATTTACTGCACAGAGTTTTGTTAGATGGGTCTTGAATGCTACTGTGATTGCACTGCACACAGTTTGGAACATGAATTATTTGACACAGGGATGTTGCACATGTGACACAACAGCACTAAGATCTAATAAATTACTAATCTGGGAATTTTAACACTGGTATAAACCTCTGGGCTCTTAGGTCAATAAAACACAATTCATGTGCTTCAAGCACATCTTGACATGATGGAGTCTTTATGGTATGTACAGTCAATAATTCTCCCATTAATCCTTTAATGCCGAAAGTGAGCTTGTTTGTTTGTTTTGAAACGTCTGTCATTCCTAACAGAGAAATTATAGATGAAAGTTTAGTTAAATAGGTGCCTTTATAGCCTTTATAGTCGCTGTGTAGTCCCTGGACAAGGTAAGTATGGTGCATTCATGTATAATCTCTGTAAGAAATAGTTCCTTCTTACAAGGAATTGCTTATATACAAGTAGCTTGCACGTTTTTCTGACTGTTTATCATAGCAAAACATGGCAAATTCGACTTCTAGCACTGATGTTTGTTACAATAAACTTAATTTATAATCAGATATGATAGACTATGTGGCTATACCAATTAAGTGCCTGCGTGATTATTGTAGTGTCCGTGTGCCAGATAATTCAGGATAATGTCTAGTGGTGTAGTTTTGACTGTGCCACGAGTACATTAAGCAGTATAATAATGGGTGGGAAGACAACCTCTGAAGCGTCTCCTCTTAATAAGCATGTCATGATTCATGTGTTGCAGTACTTCAGCATAATAAAGCAAATTAAAGACAGAATAGAAGCTGTCTCTCTTAACTTCTTACAGTTTTTCTATGTTTGTAGCACCTTATGTTTGTTTTCCTTCATTTAATTATTCACTCTACCAGAGAAGATTGTACCAGCTTTTCATTATAAACTTTCCCTGAAGATATGGAAGAAAACCTCTTCTAATCTACCTAGAAGCTCAAAACGGTTTTCAGTCTTGGAAACAGATGTGAACAGCCTTAGCATAAATGTGAGGGTTTATTCCATCTTGACTGTCACAAGCTTGAAATCAAAAAGACTGCAGTGGTAATTACGGTATGGTGTGACCTTATCCTCATCGATCCTTGCACTGGCATCCCAGAAACTCGTCATTAGAAGGCAACTGTGTCCAGAGTTGGTTGTAAATGCTTTGTAACAACGTGGTATTGACCGGATCATCAGTAACCATAATGGACACCTACCCATTAATTTCATCAGTGGTGATGAAATTTGTCCTGCAAAGAATGAGAATCTAAAAAAAAAGGAGGCAGAAATATTGAATAAAATGCTGGGTTTTTAGAAATGAGAGGGATCCATCTTTTTTGGTTTTCCCATTTTCTAAGATAAACTGTCTGCCAAGGAAATACAGGAAGGTCTGAGGTCTGCCCCTAGCAGGGAGCCTTCCCTAGCTTCCGTGCTTAGGCCTGGAATATTTAGGATTTGATAGCTGTATAACAGAGAGGAAACCATCCAGTAGGAACTAGATTTGTATTTGTATTTATTTAACAGCTTATAGGACATTTCTGTGTATAGTAGCTTCTCTTTATGAATGGACATCTTGAAAATAGTATTTCTTCTGAGTAGTCTCATTCTGTAAAGGAGATAATAAAAGATGTCAATGTATTTTTCCTTGCTTTGGGCAAAGGCTGGCTGGGGTTGATTGTGCTCTTACTGTCTGTCTCTCTTTGGTTAAAGGTGATAATTATGCCTGGACTCCTATATGTAGCCAGTGTCAAGATGCAGGATTATCCCCAGCTACATTAGAAACAGGTGAGCATCAGTTTTCTTTAGCAGGATCGTAGGGGTTTTCTTCTTTTGTTTTAAAAGCAATTAAAAGCTTCTGATAGAGAAAGAAGCTGTAGAAAATTTGGGGCAGAAAAATCACTTACTAACAGCATACACGTATGATGTACAGTGCTGATGGCACCAGCCTCTGAGTGAAAATAAATGCTGTGAATGAAGTCCTCTGTTTTAGTTCAGCATTTTCACTTTCTCTGTGTTTCTTACTAATCTCTCTTGTATTATTCACTGCTTATTAATTTTGAGGCCTAGAAATATGGGGAACTTTGTCCTTAAAGCTGGGGGAGAGGGTAAGGGTGGGGCTGGGCCTAAAACACTACGAGTTCCATAGGTACCGCTGAGTAGCTGCTGTTTCCCCTTATCATTAATGTCAACTGAAGTCACTGAAAGTAGAGGTAACAAAAATGTTTGTGATTTATGAAGCACTTTAATTACCCACTCACTCATCCTAAATGCAGTCCTTCTTGGTCATGGGAAAGCATCTTCCTCTTGACCCCTGGTTAAATACCATTTTGCAATATTTCCTTAATTGCATGTTTTTGTTACTGTTCAGAAAAAACCCAGACATTTTATGTCAAAGTGAAAACATTTGCGACAATATTTGTTTTGCCCTTTTTTTTTCTTTATTTTTTTTCCTCTTTTTTTTAACTTCTTACTTTAAAGATATTCTTCCCCCCCTTTTTTAGTTCCTGTTTCTGGTTCTCATATGGCTGCCTCTGCTTGTCAGCATTCTTTAAGCAGTTTCCTACCAACTGGAAAACAGAGGGATACAAGGAAGACTGATCTATGCCTAAAGCCAAAGGCTTGGCACACAGTCTCAAAAGAGCGACCACACTCTTTAGTGGACCTTAAGGCCTACAAAGACACAAAAATTTTGGTGGCAAAATTTTTGGAACACTCAAACTGTAATCTCCCTCCCGAAGTACGTCACGTAGTGAACAGCATACGATCAGTAATAAAGTCTGATGAGAGACACATGGAAGAAGCCATCTTCAGTGCCAATATTATAGACCAGGTAGGCCATTTAAGTTCTAAAGATCTGTTCAACTGTAACAGACACGTACCTTATTGAAATGTTTTCACAGTTTTAAGTACTCCAGACAACTCCTACAAAAGATCTTTTATAGTAACATGGCTTTACGAAGAAATAATTAATATATATTGGGAGTAATGCATTTTACACTGAAGCACTCAGAAATGCATTTAAAATTCTTCTGCTGGACCCCATAATATCCTAGGAGATCTTTAGGGAACTGATATTTACACATTGATAATCAACCTTTCTTATTTCCCAGGTCCTTCTGCACCTGTGACTGTTCCATACATAAATTTGTGTTTATATATGGAGATACACAGAACTGACCTGGATCTGCTGTTTTTTCAGGCAAAAGTATTTGTACAGCATAAGCTACTAGCTGAAAAGAACGGGTAGATACACGAGCAGGGCCACGATCTATCAAAACAGAAGAGTGCAGTTACCCATACTCCTGGCTAAAAGAATGATAATGACCCGAGCTATTTTTAAGAAAAAGAATTGAGAAATTGTGCTTTTCCAAGTGAAGGAATAATGCGTCTTCTCACCTTGAGTGAGAATCAAACAGACACAAGGCTTGGAAGGACTCTTGTAAAACAAGGGAATTAGTAGTGGCAGTAGCTTTTATTATCTAATGCACGTTTAATAATAAACCTTTTTTTGCGGGGAAAAAAAGGTGATGAATCACCTCTTGCTAGTACTGTTACCAGAATGATAGCTATAGAAATGAAGTTCCTTTCCTGTTGTCAGGTTTGGAAAGCAGAATGCTCTTAGCACTGACTGGCCCCGCTCAGGTTGCCTGTCGGGTTTCCACGGAGCAGGACAGACAGGGAAGCATCACATCTGGGGGCTGTTCCCCCGTTCTGAGATACTCTAACTCCTGTGGATTAGGCTGCTGAGCCTTAAAGGAGGGAAAATGGCTAAGTATTAAAACAGGACGTAGTAACACTTAAACAGCATGCGAGAGAGTGATGTGTAGCAGGAAACACAGAGCATTTAATAAAGCTTGCTGCGAGATTGGTTTTGCTAAGTGAAGTAGAACAAAGAACTTGCAGCGTATCAGTTACCTCTGTAGTCACATGGGTAGCGCTATCGTGACATATTTAACAGAGTGGCAGCATGGAATTAAATTTTAACATTTTGATTGCTTGACAAAATTTATAGGTCATTAAATCCTCAAGGCTAGAAAGTTGAAACGAATTTTCTTTAAATGAAAAAAACCATTGTTTCTCACAAAACAAAATGGTACGAAAAAATTGATTGTTTATGTAGGTTGTAAAACCAGAAACCAATGGCCCAATATTTATCCTGTGCGGTCTTCTTAGATCCAGGGAGACATAGGTTTTTTTCACATCAAAGAAATAATTTTAGTAGGTTGGGGTTTTTTTCAGGCAGAAAACAATATGTGAAAGTTAATTAGTGAAAGTCCCGGGCATCCCAGCAATCTACTTAAAAGTCACAGAATTTTTGGTAAAATAGTTGTATAATTGAGATTTGTGAAGTAGCTTGACAGTTCTATTAACACCAGAATGTTTAGCAGGCTTGCAAGGCTTTAGTTCTCTTCTACCCTCAGCAAAGCTAGTGAGGCCATCTCTTTCTGCTAACAGAAACAGATGAGTTTAATTTGCTCCACGCTTGTATTTGTTGATTATAAGGCAGAGCTGCTGCCTTTTCCACAGGTTTCCTTTTCATTTGTACAGAGAGAAACAAATACTTGTTTGTGCCTGTGTGGATCTGAGCCCACCGTGCAGACAGATGAGGCCTGATGCCTCTCAGGCCTGACGGTGCCTTCTGGGGGGCGCGGGAGGCTTCTGGATGGCTGCATGAACACGCGGCTCCTCTGGGAGAGTTCTGCATAAGATAACTTGATGAAATGATACTCAGGGACTGAACCTTTTAAAGGAAAACATTTCTTACCCTGTTTTCCCCGTTTTTCCTTCTCGATTTCTGCCCTTTTAAACAGGTAATTACAAGTTCCCAGCAGAATGTGAATACCTCTAGAAAGCGACTTCAAGAAGATCTTCATCTTCAGAGCTGTGGTGCTCTGAGCTCTCCCGTTGCCTTCTTACGTAGGTCCCGTATCACTCGCAGTTTAGAGCGGGACAGGCCTCACAGTTTAATTGGAGTTTGCCGGGAAACCATCCTTTGATAATATTTGCAGGTATGTGATTCCAGCAAAGAGAACTAAGGAAGAAACCAGGACTGGGAGAAATACAAGTAGTGGATGACGTAAAAAGGAGACAGTGTCTTCCTTTGGAGTTCCACTTTTTTCCAACAGCAGGAGGAGAACACCTGTTTTTCTGAATGTAAATTTAAGCCCTGATTTTTGCAAAATTTTAACCGATTTACTAGTAAAGTTATAACAAATGTTTACCCAACCAGAAATGCATTTATTTCACTGTACTTACAGAAATGCTACTGATGCTGCCTAGCATTTCCTAAAAACCATTGCAAAACCGCCAGAGACTGGCTGTACAACTTAAAAGTTGTATTTATTTAATGTACCTCAAAGTGTTGTAACTATGATCAGTGTTTTAATAAAAAAGTATTTCTGGACTTTCCTTTTTCAACAACTGATTTGGATAGAAATGTAAAGGCGATTCATATGCACATACAGTGCCGCTTCTAATCCGTTTTTCCAGTGTCTTTCCTGCCCGGCTAACTGAGCTGTCCTGTTCCAGCTGCGCGCCCCTCCCCCCAATACCTTGCTCTTTTCAATTATAGTAAAGGCTGCAGTGTGCCGCCTTTTGCTTTGTTCTGATTGCGAATGAGGTAACGGAGTAGTGTATGCTATTGAAAACTGACATTTAAGTACTCTGCGAATTGTGACCAAAAGACACATCAGGGAGGAAGTCTTTGAAATTCTGCATTTCCAAAAAGCATATCGCACAAACGTTTTACAAACGCCAACTGATAGGAAGTTAGATGAATTTTTATCTAGCAGAGCCTTGAACATTTTTTCCAAGAGAATTGTTACCGCAATTAGTAGTTTTGACGATTGTATTACTAAAACATGTCCTTGCAGTTCTGCTGCATTTATGACTTATTTAACATTGCTCTTAAAAAAAATAAAAAAATCAAAAAGTAAGTATCATTGACGCTAATTTGATTACCAGCATAAACACAGGTCTGCCAGCAAGGTCTTCCAGTGCGAGCTTCATCCTGGCTCTCTGAGGAAATTGGAAAGGCCTTAAACAAAGGTTCTTATAAAGAACCTACCACAGGTTGACGTTTCAGAGTTTTAATTTTTTTGCAGCAGTGCTTGCCAGTAGCGTTAGTTTCCATTTGAGGTTTAATCATATACTGGTTTCATTTGTGTCACTCTGAGCTGGGCAGACATCCTGTGAAAAGGTCACAAAGGAATGTAGCTGAAGATGGGTAGTTTAAGTTTTACAGAATCATCCATTTTAATGTATTTTTAATTATAGCATGCTTCTATATTGATGTGAAATTACAGTGACATCCAGTGGCAACAAGGTATGCTAATTGAAAGCGTCTACTCTCAAGGTAATAATCGATACACAAATTCCTAATTCAAGAGATGAATTATTTTTAAAAATATAATCTGTGACCTCTGCAACTGCACTTAGATGAAGAATTAAATGATCTTCTACTTGGATTTTTTTATTACGTAAACTTACACAACAAACAAAATAAGCAAGCTTCCTTTATTACTTCAGATTTATTAGTGATAGTGGCTTAATTCTTTCCTAAGGTCAGTTGCATGCAACACACTACTCCTTGAAGTACAGTCATCTAAAGCTCTTTAGTTACTGCATGGTAAGGCTTCTTAAGTCACAGTGTATTTTCTTCAAGGCCTTGGCCAAAAAAAAAAAATCTAGATGAAAAGTTACACCAATTAACATTTATCATAAGGAATACAGCTTTACTACTAGTTTTTTTTATCTAGACACATTCTATTACTGCTGATGGTGCTAGGTTATTTGTCAAAACAATTTACATTCAGAACACATTGCCTTAGGAATAAGGATGCTTTATAAAAGACAGAAACAGGTAAGCATGGCTTTCCCATTTTGAGCCAATATAAACAAAAAGGTAATATGCAAAAATTAAAGAAAAAAAACCCCAGCCCAACACATACATTACACAACCTGTGCAATAAGTTATCCATGAAAACTCTGTTAAATCATAAAAATCACAAGCATTAAAAATAAATATGTATCTAAATAAATATTTTGATTTTAATCTTGTGGCAATTATTCTTTATTTAGCATATGAAACACTTGTTACATGTTTATGTTCACACCTTGCCAAACAGGTTACACTTGTCATAACAATACCAAGTACTACAGTGGTTTTCTTTACATTAGTATCTGAAAGTTTTAACTGCACACATTCCTTTCCACTGAAATACCAGCTATTTGGCACCAGTTTTAAACTTACGCAAAGCCATCGGTATTGGATCACTTTATGGGACTGGGATTTTTTTTTTAACTTGAGGCAACCACAACTTTCTCTAATTGCTTCTCTTTGCCATTTCCTGCAGTCTCATTCATCAAATATTCACATTCACCGTGTTATCAAACAAGACAGACAGACATACATCACTCCACAAAAAGGTTACAAATAAATACGTTGTAAGTTTTATGAGAAAAGTGTTTAGAAGATGTTGCAAAATACTTAAATGTTTTACAAAGATTTTTGTCAGTGATTATTGTCCTTGACCATCCTTCTCATCACTTTTTGGCAAAGAAATAAAAAGGAAGGAGAGAAAAGGCAGAGACACCTGTCTGTTCCTTGTTTCGGAGTCCTCAGGTCAGCTTCAAAGCCTTTCATTCATACAAAATACAAAATTCTCTTCAGCTATGAGGGCTTCAGCTTTGATGGAATCGTGTAGTTATTTTGCTGCAAGAGTCGCATGCTAGATGTACAGAGGTGTCTCTTGCCCCGTTAGAAGCCTGAACATGGCAGCTGGCATAGTCTTCATGTGAATCTGTCAATTGATTTACACAGAAATTAACAGAATTGTTACTAGTTTAAAATAATCCATAAGGCCCAATCTGTCCCTCCCTGTGCCGTAAGTGCATTTATTGTCCTGGTTTCTATAGATGTGAATGTTACCGTAGTTTCTAGTTCAAAGTTCTCTGGTTCCAACAAGCTGCTTTGCTGTCTTTGCTTTTTTTGTGTTTTTTTTTTTTTTTTTAAATGACGATGACAGGATGCAACATCATACAGCTTAACAAGACACCTAAACACTACTCCAATTACAGCCCTTAAAAAAGAAGCAGCCCAGACTTCTCTGAAAATTCATTCTGCTGTTCAGATATTAACTGAACTTAGATTTTTCTTCTGTCTTCCTTCCCCATGGGAGTGTCATTTCATACATATTTTCTCCTCATTTGAGTATGATCCTCTGAACACAAAACTTGGACTTTCTTACCTGATGTTTAAATGCCAGTCAAGAGTTTGGTGCAGCAGGTTCTCTCATGGCTAGTGTATTTAAGTTCTTTCTACAAGGAGTGCTGAGAGGGATTTTACAGACTGACGGGATTAAAGGCATCAGGTAATCACAGTTGTATCACAACTGTAGTAACAGCTGTAAGTACCTATCGGACACCGCAAGAGGAAGGACGGCAGACTTTGCTAACTGGTAATACACACCCGCACCAGCCATACGCTGCCCTGGTATCATGGTCTCTTCGTGCTGAAAAGTTTCATGCTGTCCTCGTATGTTTAGTGAGATGTTATGCAGCAAAGAGGTTCCGTAAAGGCATGGAGGTTCTACTGCAATCTACAGCTTTGTTCCTGCCAATGTGCGTGTACTCTGTACTACTTTTCAAGTATTGTTTTCCACAGAAAAACAACTCATCTTTGATTTTTGGCAAAGGAAGTAGTGGAAGATCCACCAGGGTTGTGTATGGTACTACCACTGAAGTCGGTAGGGATTTTGATAAACTGGAGGATCTTGTTCATTTATTGCTGATTTCTCTCAAAGTACTGGAGAGAGATGTCTTGACTGATTCCCAAGGTAAGTTGCAAACGTTCCATGGAAATTAAATGATTAAACACACATCAATTTGAATCTCTCAGCTCTTTGAATATTCTTTTATTTCTATGGCAGATGCTGTAGCGATAAGCCAAGAGACATTTTCAGAGCTAACATGCTTGTGCGATTTCTTCCCTTAATTCATTTGTTTAATTCAAACAGTAGTTGAAGGTTCAGAATCATGAAAATGGCGGAAGAATGCAGTGAATGTGCATCTAATTATTCACAAAATGTTCTGTTAATTGTTTGTTATTAGTGCTCAATTCCAATTTACTGAGGTGGTGGTTTTAGTACTATGTTAAGATACTCTTTTCAACTGAAATATATATTCTTTCGACAGTTTTAATTCCTTGATTATGTAATTGTTTTCTTACCTCTCCCACTGAATTAGACAATGCTTGTACTATCTTCTCATGAGCAGTAGCAACAACACTTTGTCCATTGATCTCAATAATACGATGTCCTACTCTTACCCCTCCCCTCTCAGCTATTCCACCTCGCATCAAGCTGCAAATCTGCCAAGAGAAAGCAAAGTTCATTTAAGTTTAGAAATGTCATAATGTGGCAGTTACTAGGATTTAACACGTAATAATGAGTGGTGGCATCATAAGGATTCCAGAAGATACTTGTGGAAATTATTAAGCAATACTGTGAGTCTTTAAATTTTGGTTTGTGGGTTTTTTCCAAAATTTCTGCAAATTAAAATTTTTATTTTCATTCTCATGGGCTGGGAACATATAAATACCTAACACAGTGACACAGGTAGCAGCCATGCAAAAAAGTGGAGTTAGGGGGAAGAGAGAAGTTTTATGTACTGTTGGGATAGGAGAAGAAAGTGATTTTTAAGTATTTCTGACTGTGCCACCAGGACTCTTTCTGCAAACTACCACATTATTCTTTCTGGGAAATATTAAAAAGCTGTCCTGGTTTGTAAAAATTGATCTACAACAGCAATTTTTTCACATACACGGCAAAAACTGACACGGAGCTCAATCCATAACCCTGCACAAATGCTAATTTAGGCTGAAGGAAAGGATGATGCCATACCGACATTCTTTATGCTGGCGATCTGTCAAAAGGGTCACAACGATAGAAGGAAAGATGTAAAAGATATTAGGAAGAAATTCTTTACTGTGAGGGTGGTGAGACACTGGCAGAGGTTGCCCAGAGAAGCTGTGGCTGCCCCATCCCTGGAGGTGTTCAAGGCCAGGCTGGATGGGGCTTTGGGCAACTTGGTCCAGTGGAAGGTGTCCCTGCCCAGGGCAGGGGGGTTGGAACGAGATGATCTTTACAGGTCTCTTCCACCCAAATCATTCTATGGAATGTGCAAATTCTGTTTGTTTTTACAGGCTATTGTCAGCATAGTGAAGTACGACAACTTGTTTCTAGTGCCTCCGCAGGCTGGAAAAGGGCACTCAGCTCTCCAGAGCCATTGCTTGTCTCTGTGGTTTACAGTG